AACTGGAAAGGCACCAAATAAGTGAATTCTCCACGTACCTTAAGGATCTAGAAAAACAGCAAACTAAACCCAAAACCAGTAGAAGAGAAGAAGTAATTAAAATTAAAGAAGAGATCAACAAAAATGAAACAAAAAAATACAAAAGATCAGCAAAACAAAGAGCTGTTTTTTTTTTAATAAAATTGACACACCACTGGCCCAACTAACCAAAAAAAATGAGAGAAGGCTCAAATCAATAAAATTAGATATGGTAAAAGAAATGTAACAGCAGACATCACAGAAATAAAGAGAGTCATCAGAAACCATTACAAAGAACTGTATGCCAATAAGCTGGGAAACCTGGAAGAAATGGATAGATTCCTAGACACATACAGCTTAGCTAAATTGAGCCATGAAGACAAAGAAAACCTAAACAGACCCATAACCCAGACAGAATTGAATCAGCAATAAACGCCCTCCCAACAAAGAGCCCAGGACCAAAAGGCTTCACTGCTGAATTCTAACAGACATTTAAGTAAGAACTAACCCCAGTTCTTCTCAAACTATTCAGAATAATTGAAAGGGAGAGAATCCTTCCGAATTCTTTCTATGAGGCCAATATTGCCTTAATTCCTAAACCCAGAAAAGCTGCAACAAAGAAAACTATAGACCAATCTCCCTGATGAACATAGATGCAAAAATCCTCAACAAAATCCTGGCCAATCAAATCCAACTACACATCAGAAAGATCATTCACTTAGATGAGTGGGATTTATCCCTGGTATGCAGGGATGGTTCAACATTCAAAAATCAATCAATGTGACACATCATTTTAACCAGTTGAGGAACAGAAACCATATGATTATCTCAATAGATGCAGAGAAAACATTTGACAAAATACAACACCCTTTCATCATGAAAACTAAGCAAATTGGGTGTAGAAGTAACATTCCTCAACATGATCAAGGCAATTTATGACAAACCCATAGCCAGTATCAAATTGAATGGGGAAAAATTGGAGGCATTTCCAGTGAAATCTGGTACCAGACAGGGATGGCCACTTTCACCATTGCTATTCAATATAGTCCTAGAAGTTTTAGCCAGAGCCATCAGGCAAGAAAAAGAAATCAAAGGGATACAAATTGGAAGGGAAGAAGTCAAATTATCCCTATTTGCAGATGACATGATTCTATAGATAGGGGATCCAAAAGACTCCACTAAGAGACTATTGGAATTCATAGAAGAGTTTGGTGAAGTAGTGGGATACAAGGTCAATACACAGAAATTAACAGCCTTTGTGTACACAGACAATGCCATGGCTGAGAAAGAACTTCTAATATCAATCCCATTCACAATAGCCACAAAAACAATCAAGTACCTTGGAATAAACTTAACCAAGGATGTTAATGATCTCTATGATGAGAATTATACAACATTAAAGAAAGAAATAGAAGATACAAAAAATGGGAAAATCTTCCATGTTCATGGTTTGGAAGAACCTATATCATCAAAATGTCCATTCTTCCAAAAGCAATTTACAGATTCAATGTTCTACCAATCAAAATACCAAAGACATTCTTTTCAGATCAAAAAACAAAATGATGTTGAAATTCATATGGAAGCACAGGAGACCTTAAATAGCAAAAGCAATCTTGTACAACCAAAAACAAAGCTGGAGGCATCACAATACCAGACTTCAAGACATAATACAGGGCAGCTATAAACAAAACAGCCTGGTGCTGTTACAAAAATAGATGGATAGACCAATGGAACAGAATAGAAACACCAGAAATCAATCCAAACATTTATAACCAACTTATATTTGACAAAGGAGCTAAAACCAATCCCTGGAGCAGGAATAATCTCTTCAACAAATGTTGCTGGGAAAAGTGGATGTCTACATGTAGAAGTATAAAGCAAGACCCCTACCATACACCCTACACAAAAATTCACTGAACATGGATTAAAGATCTAAATCTACGCATGACACCATCAAAGTAATCAAGAACATTGGGAAACCCTGCAAGATATTCACACAGGCAAAGAATTCCTGGAAAAGACCCCAGAGGCACAGGTAGTCAAAGCCAAAATGAACAAATGGATTTACCTCAAATTGAGAAGTTTCTGTACAACAACAACAACAACAAAAACAGGAAAGTGAAGAGGCAACCAACAGAATGGGAGAAATTATTTGCAAACTACGCAACCAATAAAGGACTAATAACCAGAATATACAAAGAAATCAAGAAACTTCACAATAACAAAACAAACAACCCAGTTAAGAGATGGGCCAAGGAATTAAACAGACATTTTTCAAAAGAGGAAATCCAAATAGCAAACAGACACATGAAAAAATGTTCAGGATCACTAGCCATCAGTGAAATGCAAATCAAAACCACAATGAGGTTTCACCTCACCCAGTTAGAATGGTTTTCATACAGAAATCAACAAACAACAAATGCTGGTGAGGATGTGGGGAAAAGGGCACCCTAACCCACAGTTGGTGGGAATGTAAACTGGTAAAGTCAAGATGGAAGACAGTATGGAGATAGCTCAAAAATCTGAATATAGACCTAACATATGACTGAGCCATCCCACTCCTGGGAATTTACCCAAGGGAAATGAAATCAGTAAACAAGTGCTATCTCCACCTCCATGTTTATTGCAGCTCAATTCACAATAGCTAAGACATGGAATCAATCTAAATGCCCATCAGCCAAAGCCTGGATAAATAAATCATGGGATATGTACATTATAGAATACTACACAGCAGTAGAAAAGGATGAAATCCGGTCATTTGCAACAAAATGGAGCAAGCTGGAAAACTTCTTACTTAGTGGAATAACCCAGTCCCAAAGAGACAAATACTATATGTTCTCCCTGATTTGTGGGGATTAATAGCACTCCTAAAATGAAAGATATATTAGTAAAATTGACACTTTTAGAATCAATGATTTGAATAGTCTTTGTCCTGACTGTCGAAGTACAGTTTATTACTGTTATTTTTTATTATGTATTTCCTTTTTTCCTTTGTTTTCTCTTCTTCATACTATATGTTAAACTCTTCTGTAACAGAGTTACTCATATGTAAATTAAGTCAATTGGAAAAAGATCCCAGTAAAAAATAAGAGGGGGAATAAAAGAGGGAGGAGGTAGTCTGTAACTGTAAAGCAGTATAGTTCTGAATATATTCATACAGACATACTTCTAAGGGGACAGCCTAAAAATTTGTCACGGGACTCCAGACACATTAAAATCAATAGTGTGAATGCCATCTTAACTGTTAAAATGATCATATTAAGTGTTAACATTAACATATAGGTAGGTTTAAGTGTGAAATTGATCATATAAATAACATCAAGTGCCTGGTAATAATAGAATTAAAAAGAAAGGAATGTCAAGCAGTCCACACAGCAGACTCCTAGAATGACATTCACTGTAAATAACACTCTGACCTCAGAATCAGCCCTATAACGCTTCCTGGTCTGGCTGAAAGGGGTGTGAGAGCATCTCAGGCATGCAAAGCCAAGACTCTGTGGCAAAAAATGTCCTACATGAAGGATCTCTGTGAGCCCTCAGTGGAAAGAAAGGGCCATCAAAGAAGGATGCACTCTTCTCTGAAGGGAGGAGAGAACTTCCCCTTTGCTTATGGCTGCGTCCAAATACCAATGGAGTCTATGGTCCCAAAAGGCTTCCATAGCCTTGGTAGCCCATGGCAAGAGCCTTGGGTGACATCATGGAGAAGAGTATTGATTGTTAAAGGAACAGAAGAAGTCACTGTGCACTTACTCCCCGTGTAGGACCTCTGTCCTTAATGAGTTGTACTGTGGGAGTTGACTGCAAATCTTGTTCTCAAACTGTACTCTATATGTTGTGTGTGTATGTAAGCTGTTGAAATCAGTGCTTGGCATATAGATATATAAAATATATATAAATATAAAATTATACACACACACACACACACACACACACACACACTAATCAAGCTAAAAATGAACCATGGTGGAGAAGGGGCTGGGAGTCGGGGTAGGAGGGTGGGTATGGGAGAAAGAACCACTATATTCCTAAAGTTGTACCTATGAAAAATGCATTCATTAAATGTAAAAAATAACATTCTTTACCTCTAAACAGGAATGAAATTCTGACAAAGACTACAAACATGAGTGAACCTTGACAACACCAGGCTAAGTGGCATAAGCAAGATATAAAAGGACAAATGTTGTATCATTCCTTTCCCACAAAGTACCTAGAAGAGTCAAATTTGAGGAGATACAAAGTAGAACAGTGGTTATCAGGGGCTGGGGATGGGAGACTGGAGATGGGAATGAAGATAAAGAGAGATTGTTCAGGGGGTCCGAAGCTTCATTTGGAGATCATGAATAAGTTCTGGAGGTGGAGATGATGACAGATGTGTAAGAATCTGAGTGAGCGTGTCACTGAACTCTAGGCTTAAAGATGACCCGAACGTTAAATCTTATGTTCCATGTATTTTACTATAGTTTTTAATTGAGAAAGATTGGTGTTTAAGGTTTAAAAGTGGTTCTCATGAGAAAGGTACCAAACATAAATCCCAAGATTGCTTAATGGAAAGCCAGGGAGGAGAACAGCATAATATGGGGAGCCACTGTCCCCAGGGACTCACATTACCCTGTGAAACTCATGGTACATCCAGACGACTCGCATCCTCACAATTTTCCAAGAGAAAAATGATTCCCACCCTGAAAAATGCCGAGAGTTAATATTCTCCTTCCATTGTCCCATCCATCAAGCCACACCTGAACCCCAATATTCACAGGCTCTTTAATTAAATGGGGATAGATAAAAAAAAAAAGATGGTACATTAATGAATAGTGACTTACTCTGGACCACTGCAGAGTCCCTCCTGTAACAGTCACATTGATGGTAAAAATCGGTTCTTCATTATTAAGGAGGTAAAGGAGACGTCAGGATGAGTGCCTCATTTTCTGCGAGATAGTATTGCCGAGCCGATTTAACATCTCAGATCTTAAACTCTTCTCCAGCTCAGTGAAGCTTCACAACTATTAAGATGCTCAGGATTCGATGGAAACACCAAATATAAAATGGAAACTCATCTACATAACAAAGGCGAGGAGAAAGCAGCCATCGCCTCGGCCATCCCCAGATCTTTGCTTTGCAACAAGTACTGGAGTCTTACAGAGTGCACACAATACAAGAAGCTGTATCGTTTGAAGGTAAATACCTGCTTTGGGCAAGCAGTCTCAAGCAATGCTAAGATATAAACATTCTAGTAGTGAGTACGTGTGTGGCGAAGGGCCACAGAAAAGAGTGGACCAGATAGTTTTGAAGGACTGAGACCATTTTTATATTTACCATAGTGTAAGTTCTCTGTTTACTCCTCCCCTTTTGAACCTAAAAACATGCATTCACTGCCTCTTTCCAACACATACGATCAAGTCTCAAATGTTATTTGTCTTCTAAGCCACAGACTTAAAACTCCAATACTTCTAGGGAGGTCTTGTCAGATGGAGAAGTGGATCAGAGATTGTGGTGGCATGTTTGAAGTGTATTAAGCATACAGTCAATTATGACACTTCTTTAGGATTTTGATATGATCATCACTTTGTAGTTAACCCAGATTTCATTTATCTCTACACCCACTTTTACAAAAGCACAGAAATTTAGTATAAACTCATGTTTAGACTACAAGGGAACACAAGCGCAGAGAAAAGAAAGGCTGACCTACTGATCACACTGGGCAATGCATCTCATTCTGCCCTTACTGATAGATAACAGAATAGAAAAATGATGCCTTAAGACGCTTTTATCGTCTGATTATTTGATTTTGTCAGGTCTTTGGGAGCAACTAAGCTTTCATCTGAGGTTTGGGTATCAAAAAAGGACTAGGCAATCCTGGAAAAGAACACCATGCAGAGGGAACAGCAGCGCGGGGCTCTGCAGGAAGCTACAGTCTTGGGTGATGATGATGATCTTGCTCTGCCTCTGACAGATGTGCTCAACATTTATTCAGTGCCTACTGTGTGCTAGGAGCAATTCTAGATATGTGGGATTATTGAGTGAAGTAAATAAAGATCTCTACTTTCATTCTGGCAGAAGCAAAAAAATATATAATCCATGCGATGAACAAGTACCTTGAGGGTTATGTTGGAGGTGACGTATCCTATAGAGAAAAAGAGACAACGTAAGGCGGAGTATGGTAATATGCATGATATGGAAAGAACATCTACTAGTACTTCCTTATCTCAAGGTTGCTCTGAAAATCAAATGACATCACATAGGTGAAAGAGTATCATTAACTATTTTGTAAAAGTAATTAATACAGCAATTGAGAAGTTTATTCTCATAAGCTTCACCACACATGAGCACATACATTGATATTTGATTTTTAATGTTATGGACAGTTACCCAAAGACAAATCTGTTCTATTTCTTCTAGTAAATAATGTCTTTTACGAGGGGAGTAATCTTTGGCTCATAGCCCATATCAATCAAGAGATGACCCCTGTACTTTGCTATCTCTCTGGTCTTCACGTCGCTGCTAACACCATTAGGACCAAAACGGCCAGTTAACTAATCAAAGCCCCCCCACCGCACCCCAGTCACCAGAGCGAACTTCCTCCTGTGTTTGTGGATGATGAGGGAAAGGGGTACACCTTTCCTATCCTATAGCAAAACAGGCACATGATGGTTCCAACTGGGGTAATACTATGTTCACCACAGCTGGAATCATTGAGCTAAAGGGAAGTTACATGACGGAGTAGTTGCCAACAATGTTACTCAAGGAACCAAGTCTATCAGGTAGTTTCATTTGAATCCTTGTTTCTACAGAACTACACAGCCCCCATTCCACCAAGCTCTCTGTTGGCAAGTTGGCGGAACTCAGAAACTTTCCCAGCGGACTGGATGTGGGATGCTCAGGTGAGAAAGGTTTCTGCTCTGAGTGGCTAAAAGGAGAGCTGTCCTCACCAAGACGGAGTGGGGTTTGTTTGCAGGATCAAGAGTTCAGTCTTCGGGGCTGGCGTGGCCCTGGTTTGAGACCCGGCTGCTCTACTTCCGATCCAGCTCTCTGCTGTGGCCTAGGAAAGCAGTAGAAGATGCTCCAAGTCCTTGGGCCCCTGCACCCATGTGGGAGACCTGGAAGAAGCTCCTGGCTCCTGGCTTCAGATTGGCCAGTTAGGGGATGAACCAGCGGATAGAAGACCTCTCTCTCTCTGTCTCTGCCTCTCCTTCTCTCTCTGTGTAACTCTGACTTTCAAAGTAGATAATCTTAAAAAAAAAAAGAGTTCAGTCTTCTATATGCTGAATTTGAGATGTTTATTAGACTTCCAAGTAGACGTGTTGAGAAGGGAGGTGTCTTCCAGAGTCCAGCATGTGGGAGAGAGTTCTGGTCTAGGGAGCTCAAGTTAATTATAAGCATAGAGGGATCCAGAAGGAGAGGACAGCATGGTGAGCTAGGAGGCAAAGCAGGAGGCCAGAATCCCGCAGGGCAGACCTGGCAGCATGGAGTGGACTCAGCTGTTCTGCCGCTGGAGTGCAAAGGACGCGGAGGGAGGGCCAGCCACGGGGTTTAGCAGTGGTGGCACAGTTGTCTCCTGCCCTGTCAGTCACATGGTGGTGAGCATGAAAGGGAGGGAGAAATGAGACGCTTTTTCCAAGGAGTCGTGGTGCAAAGGGTAGTTGAGAAATGGAGCAACCACGATCAACATTCATATCTATAATTTACTCAGTACCCTCAGTAGTTCCCATTCTGCAGGAAGTCGCACTGCTTACTTCCAATTATTTTTAGAGTTTTTTGAATGGAACTCATGATTTTTTTTTTGACAGGCAGAGTGGACAGTGAGAGAGAGAGACAGAGAGAAAGGTCTTCCTTTGCTGTTGGTTCACCCTCCAATGGCTGCCGCACTGCGGCCGGCACACCGCGCTGATCCGAAGCCAGGAGCCAGGTGCTTCTCCTGGTCTCCCATGGGGTGCAGGGCCCAAGCACTTGGGCCATCCTCCACTGCACTCTGGGCCACAGCAGAGAGCTGGCCTGGAAGAGGGGCAACCGGGACAGAATCCGGCGCCCCGACCGGGACTAGAACCCGGTGTGCCGGCGCTGCAAGGTGGAGGATTAGCCTAGTGAGCCGCGGCGCCGGCTGGAACTCATTTCAATTTTACTGCTAAAGAAAAGAGCTCAGGGAGATTGGGTAGTTGCCCAAGGTCACAGTATATCAGGTTCCTAAACTTGAATTCAAACCTACGATTCCACCTCCAGTATACAACTTCTTGTACTACATTCACTGCTGAATAGTTTCTTCCTCTCACCATGCCCTGCCCCCAACTTTTGGGAAGGGTAGGAGGTGAAGGAAAAGAGAGACTGTGGATTTTTTTTATTCATCTTGTGTTATCTTAAACAAATTAATTCAATGGGGAAAGTGAAATGAGCTCAATACCATATTGTGGTTGAATTATTGACAATCGTTATTATTCTAACCAGGAACAAACATCACCAGGTAGAAATAAAGCCCCCACTCCCACTCCATTTTTTCTATTATTAAAAAAGCCTTGCAATTCTGCGCCTATTATTTTACATTGTAAAGTGATGAAGAATTAGAAAATTGTTAGATAGCAGGTGACAAATTGCAATCTGATGGGCCAACATGAACCTATAAAAATGTTATCAAGATGATATTAAACAGTCTATTCCTCACTTAGCATCCAGGCAGGAAATTGGAGCTCTTCTTGCTGGGATATCTCCTACTTTGATATTCTTCATTTAGATAGTGCTATTTAAAATTTAACTGGATTACTGGCAATTTGTCTTGCAAAATGATAACCCTGAGCGCTTGGCTCCCAATATCCTTTACCCAGCTTTCAGTTTTCTTTGGTACTTTCTGGAATCTCTCTGACCCTTGCTTGTGGAGGTTTTTTGTTTCATGCGTTAGAGGTGCCTTTTGAAAAGGAAAGCAAGCCACGCTTTTCTGTTTCACCGCGTGGCACTTGCATGGTACAGTTGGGCCATAAGTACCCTATGCCAGGGCGTATGTCTCACTCATCGTTCTGTCTCCAGAGCTTAGCCCAGGGCCTGACTCTGAGAAGGGGTTCAGTTCCCACTTGCTGAAAGGATGAATGCTTTATTCATCGACAGCAGACCTGCACTTGGCACGGTGTCCAGCACAGAAGAGGTGCTAAATTAGTACCTGTTACATCAAAGCACTCAGGCTGGAGGTTGATGCCAGCACTCAGCTGCACAGACTCCCTTTGGTCGAGTCTCACCTCTCTCCTGTTCTCTTGTGGGTCTTCTGGGGGCTGAGACAGCTGTCTTCTAGGATTAGGCTTTTTTCTGCATTGTAAGGAGAACACCTGTTCCTACCTAAAAGTGGAATGAGAAGCAGTGAAACTTTGGGTGGCGTTTGGTAAGTGGGAGTGGGATAATCCTAAGAATGAGCACAGAATTGTATGGAAAAGCCAAAATAATTCCCAGAAGGCAAGCTCTAACTCACGACAGTAACAACGTAGATCCCATCTGCGTCCGACTCTCAGATGATAGCTCTGAAGCCGAGAAGAAAGAAGGGATGAAGAATTTCCTTTCTTCAAGCAAAAAGGTTATCAAGCATGTGTTGGATGCCACACCTTTTCCTGAGGCCGGACCTGTGGTGAGGACAAGAGGAAGTACCTGACCCCTGACCTCATGAACCAGGCACACAGGAGTGCCCGTCAGGCCATTCATAACACAGAAATCATCTACCCTACTGGTCAAGACTAGGGAGAGGATAAAATATGTATGGTTGTGGAAATAAGGCACACATGACGCAATCTAAATGAGGAAATTAATTTTAGGCAACGATAGAATGAAAGCTCAGATGTATTATTTTCAAATCCCTGGAAAATGCACTGATAACTAAATGTAGTCTTGGAAGAAAGATCAGAAAGACAGAGGGCATTTCAAGGCAGTGCAAAGACAAACCAACAAACCACAGAAAACAAAAGGTGACATGAGTAGACAGACCAGCAAAGACACTGGTACACTTTAAACTCCCCTCCTAAAACTATAAAGATGATTTTTCAGAATAAGTAAGAGAAGAGAAATAATACACATGCAATGAGTTGCACAGGGAAATTATACAAAAAGTTAATTTAAAAGAGTTAACATATTTCTAATTTACATTGTAATGAAAGGTTTGATGGTCCACTAATGAGTTCAGTAAATAAAAAAGCAAAAAAAAAAAAAAAAAAAAAGACCATGGTTCAACAAGAATATGGACAAGGGCTATAAACAATAATCTGATTAAAGGTGTCAATTTCACGCCTATCCAGCAAATTTTTAAAACAATCAGATCATTAAAACTACAGTAGTGTATAATTCTCAACATTTTTTCTTGGTCAAAGATAAAAAAAGTTATAAAACAGTATTTGCAGCAATGCTGATACACAATGGCATTTCTTTATTTTTTTTTTTCAGTTTTTTAATTTCTTGAAATTTTAGCTCCCTAAGCATAATGGTCTCCAATTGCATCCATTTTGTTGCAAAAGACAGGATTTCATTCTTTTATTTACCAACTGGGTAATGTTCCGTTGTGTAGATGCACAATTTCTATCCATTCATCAGTTGAGCATGCTTAGTGAAATAAGCCAGTGCCCAAAAGACAAATATCATGTTTTCCCTGCTGTGTGGTAACTAATACGCAGAGTGCAAAGAAGCAATGTATGAGAGTACAATCGACATTTTGAGATTTGATTATTGTTTATAGCCCTTGTCTATATCCTTGAGGAACAGTGGTTTGTCTACTTACTCTTTGTTGAATTCCTTATTTACATGAGAGTTTGGCTTGTGATTATAAAGTAAATTGAGGAGCCAGTGCTGTGGCACAGTGGGTTAAAGCCTCTGAGTACAGCGCCAGCATCCCATGTGGGCGCCGGTTGTGGCCATCTGGGGAGTGAACCAGCAGATGGAAGACTTCTCTCTCTACCTCTACCTCTCTGTGTGACTCTTTCAAATAAGAAAAATAAATCTTAAAGTAAATTGAAAGTATGTTATTATAAAAATTAAAAGAAAAATAAGGAGAAGGAAGAGGATGGAGGGAGAAGGAGGGTACAGTGGGCACTATCAGCATGCTCTTACAATTCCATTTATGAATACATCAAAGTTGTTTTCTTCATAGAAATTTAATAAAAAAAAAATTAGCTCCCACCTGTAAGGGAGAACATGTGGTATTTGTCTTTCTGTGTCTGGCTTATTTCACAATGATGCTTTCCAGTTGCAACCATTTTCATGCAAATAATAGAATTTCCTTCTTTTTTAATAACTGAATAATATGCCATTGTGTGTATATACATATATTCACACCACACTTTTTTTTTTTTGACAGGCAGAGTTAGAGAGTGAGAGAGACAGAGAGAAAGGTCTTCTTTCCAGTGGTTCACCCCCCAAATGGCTGCTACGGCCAGCGCTGCACCGATCCAAAGCTAGGAGCCAGGTGCTTCTCCTGGTCTCCCATGCGGGTGCAGGCCCCAAGCACTGGGCCATCCTCCACTGCTACCTTCCCGGGCCATAGCAGAGAGCTGGACTGGAAGAGGAGCAACCAGGATGAAACCAGTGCCCCAACAGGGATTAGAACCCGGGTTGCTGGTGCCACAGGTGGAGAATTAGCCTAGTGAGCTGCGGCGCCAGCCCACACTTTTTAAAAAAATTTATTTACTCAAAAGTCAGAGAGAATTTCTTCCATCCACTGGGTCACTCCCCCAAATGGCTGCAACAGCCAAGGCTGGACCAGGCCGAAGCCAGGAACTACTTCCAGGTCTTCCACAGATGTGGTTGGGGACCAACAACTTGGGTCATTATTTGCTGCTTTCCCAGGCACAGTAACAGGGAACTGGATCAAAAAGTGGGGCAGCTGGGGCAGTGCCCATTTGGCAGCTGAAATTGTTACGCCACAGTGCCAACCCCAACATCTCATTTTCTTTATCCATTCATCTGATGATGCACACCTTGGTTGACTCCAAAGTGTGGCTCTTGTGAACAGAGCTGCCGTAAACATGGTGGTGCAGGTGTCTCTCTGATACAGCGTGTTCATGTCTTTGGGTGTATATCCACTAGTGGGATTTCTGGATCACATGGCAAGTCTATTCCTAGCTTTTAAAGCAGTCTCCACTCTGTTTTCCACAGTGGCTGCGCTAATTTACATTCCCACCAACAGTGTCTAAGTGTTCTCCATTCTCACCAAGCTTTGTTACCCTCTGTCTTTTGGATAATAACTATTCTGACAGAGGTGAGGTGATGTCGCATTGCGGTTTTGATTTGCATTTCCCCGATGGCTAGTGATGTTGAGCACTTTTCATACACTTGTTGGCTTTTTTGTTTCTCCTGCCTTGCAATTCCCACAGCTTCTGCTCAGATGGTGATTATTTTACAAATATTCTCTTTAAAATATAATCTTAAACACACACACACACACACACATACAAACCCAACACCAGCGATTGGGCATCAGTACAACGGGAGCTGATGTATCTAATAGTTCAAAATTTACAGCTGCTTTATTTATAATAGCCAAAATGTGAAAGCAGCTAAGATGCCCTTAGGTAGATAAATGGATAAAATACATTAGTATTTCCACACAATGGAATATTACTCAGTGCTAAAAAGAAGGGAGCTATCAAGCCATGAGAAGTCACGGAGGGAATTTAAATACATGTTACTAAGTGAAAGAAGGCATTCTGGAAAGGGCATATTCTACATGATTTCAGTTGTCTGATTTTCCGAAAAAGGCACAACTACGGCAACACCAGACAGGTTCTTGGTTTTCAGGGGCTGGAGGGAGGGTTGCAAAGAAGCTCAGAGAGGATTTTCACAGCAAAGACACCACTCTGGGTGGCACAGTCATGGTGGCTACATGCATGTACACAATGCATGTCACCAGAGAAAACAACCACATAACCACCTGGATTGTAACCACAGGACCCAGAGAGGACCACAGTGTAACCACCTGGATTGTAACCACAGGACCCAGAGAGGACCACAATGTAACCACCTGGATTGTAACCACAGGACCCAGAGAGGACCACCACATAACCACCTGGATTGTAACCACAGGACCCAGAGAGGACCACAGCGCAATCACATGGATCGTAACCAACCGACCACTCAGTGCCGAACGTTGCCACTTGGGCGAAGCTGTGCCTTTGGGGGAGCAAACACTGTATGAGAACTCTCTGTACTTTCTGTTTATTTTTCCTGTGCACATAAAGTTTGTCCATTAAAAAAAAATCACATGTAATTATATTAGAACAAAATTAAAGTATTGTCTATAAAAAAGAATTGGAAATTTTGCATTTAAACTAAGTGAGATACAAAATAAAATATATGAAATGCAATGAGGGTCATTTCACATTGATCAAGCATGCAATCTGCCGTACAAATCAAACAGCCAGAATTATTTATGTACCAGATAACAGCTCCCATATACAAAAATGATCAAAGGATTTTAAAATGTGTTTTCTTTTTGTTTTGGGTTTTTAGCCATAGGAATGAGGGCCTTAGCTACATGTGAGATGGGGAGAGCCGGGGGCAGAGATTTTTAGAGGATTGAGGGGTCAGTGTGGTTCAGTCTATGTGGTATTTGTTAATCTCCCGAACATGTGTCCAGTGAACTCACAGAGTTTCAAAAGCAAAGTCCAGAGTGTCATCTGGAGACACTAGGGAGAGGCCACAGAAGGGAGGAGGGGAAATCAGTATTTATTAGGCACCTAGTGTGCAGAGGGGGCTACACTAAACCTTCTGCAAAATGCGTGACTTCCACAGCAACCCCAGTTGCTTACGACCGTGCACTGAACACCTGCTGCTCCGAGTCCCCGGGCGTAGTGAGACAGAAGCCACAGCGCACGCCGGGGCGGATCCAGCAGAGGAGCTGCTACTCCATTTCACTGGAGAAGCAGTTGAGTGCAGGAGGCTTTGAGGCGATTTGTTCAATGTCACCCAGCGGGTGAATGTCGCAGTGGGATACAAAGTCACGCACGTGTCATTTCAAAGCCAGTGCTCCCTTCAGTCTCCTAGCTTCCTGCTGTCAATCCTTCTCTCCGAAAGGCACGAGTGGCAAAGTGCCCCAGATTACAGAAGAACACCGAGGCCGGCCACCCCACGCGTTTCTGGCGTGTCTAATGTTTCTGAACAAACACGGGGCATGTTCTTCCAAGGCAGCCTTGGTGGGTCTTTAAAGCAGGACTCCCGAAGAGCTCATATTCAGTCTCACGTGCTGTCATTGTGTTGGCCAGTCTGTTCCAAGTTCTCGTCTTTTTTGGGTACCTTCAGTCACATGTGAGTGGCTTGCTAACAGGAGCAGAGGGCCTGGATATCTATCTATCTATCTATCTATCTATCTATCTATCCATCCATCCATCCATCTATCCATCTCTCTCTCTCTCTCTTTCTCTCTCTCTTTCTCTCTCTCTCTCTCTCACACACACACACACACACACACACCCCAAGACTTGGCTGGAACAGCCGGATGTCCACGGACAGCTGATGGACAGGAGGAAGCATACTTCCCCCTTTCTCCTTGTTCCCCAAATGACAGCCCCGCAGCCTTGAGGTCTACACCAAGCAAGTATCGGCTGCATAATTTCCTTTGGGAAAAGGTTATAATGCTTTCGGAGAATGAAGTCCCGAGAAGGCTGGCGTTCGGAAATGTAGGCTTTCAGGAGATTTAACCTCTTAAAGTGAATGTTAATATTTACATGATCTTGTTAACATCTCTCTGCTTTTCTCCTTCTCTGCAACCAGAACCTGAAGGTACAGATATTTTAAACAGCTCTGCCTTCAGGCCAGCCAGCCTAGCGTGGTGTTTTATGCAGGAAAGAGCACAGCTCCTGTAACCTGTCCGTCTGTCTGAATTGGAGTCCCATCCTTTTGCTGGACGATTCGGGGAATGTTAACTCCTCTGGGCTTCCAGTCTCTCATCTGCAACATGGAAGACTCGTCCCCTTACTCTGTCAGTCAGGGGTAGTGTAGACGGACAGCGTTTATTGCCACTAACCACTGCTCGACACATCATGGGAATTGTTGTTGTTATCATGATTAATAAAAACTGTTACGGTTAGAAGCGGATACACTTTGGTTTTGTTCACATTGTATTTTTAAAGTTTTTTTGTTTATTTGAAAGGCAGAAAGAGACAGGGATGGGGGGAGAGAGAGAGAGAGAGAGAAAGAGAAAACGCGCACTGGATAGAGAGAGATCTTCCATCTGCTTGTTCACTCTGCAAATTCCTGCAGCAGCCAGGGCTAGTGCAGGGTGACTCCAGGGAACATGGGGCCAAGGAGCCTGGAACTCTGTCCTTATCTACCATGTGGGTGGCAGGGGCCTAAGCACTTGAGCCATCATTTGGCTGCCTCCTGGATTCACGTTAGCAGGTAGCTGGATTGGAAATGGAGCAGGAACCCAAAACCAGGCATCCCTACATTGGGGGCAGGCATCCCAAGTGGTGCTAAACCTCATTCTCTTCTAAAGAAATCCCAACACTGCTGTTCACACAGCAGATGTTTGCTGGGGAATACACTCGCCATGCATCCCCCGCGGTGTCTGTGGGAAGCAGTGGTGGACCACGCCGTGGCCCTCCATTCAGACCCCAGACTGGGCTTTCTGGGCTCACATCTTGACATTGGCTCATTCTAGCTTTATGGCCCTGAGAAAGAGGCTTAACCTCTCTGTACTTACCTCAGTGTCTTCACCCCTAAATAGTGACATGCCACCTACCTCAGGGGTACAATTAACACATGCATGGTGCTTCAAGCTTGCGAAGAGCATTTGCTGACCACACAATAATGGTTATTTGTTCACTGAAATGTGCTTGACCCACAATAGCATGAGTGACAGAATGCAAGTGACATTATTCTCATATGAATGGTGGAGAAACTGAGTCACGGGGCCATGTGTAGGCAAGCTGGTCGCACAGCTGGTCTGCAGCCAGCCAGTACCAGCCCTGTGTGCTCCTCTCTGCCACGCCATCCCAGCTGCTGAGCTCCCGCCAGGCTTGATCTCAAAGGCGGCCTCCCCACACATTCACACCCGCACCCCACCCCACCGTTGTCGCAGGAAATTATGCCACGAGCCATGCATCTTCTTCGACAAGCTCTGCTCTTGAAGAAACACTCCCAATTACCACGGCTGTGTTCTCCATGATTGCAATGTGTCATGACATTTCCAAGATGTAAGTTTCTTCGAAAACGGCATTAGCACTAGGCGAGCAAAACGGCTCATTTTTCAAATTTGGAAGCCGTCACTAGCCTGGCTCCGCGCTGGTGAAGCCCGAATGCGCTGCTTACTGAGCCCCGTCAGGTGGCCGGGGTTCACCCACACTGGTGTGGCTGGCTGCTCCCTCTTCGGAGGGTCTACGGCTGGCAGTGTGCAAATGTGCACACACACTGTCTACCCACACTCACACACACACAAAGTGCTTTATGCTGTGCACACTTGTTCTCTATTGGCCTCTCCCATATTCTCAATTCCCACCTGGAACCACAGGCACCCCACTTAAAGATCTCACTTTGCCCCTGTTTCCCATTCCAGGAAGCACGACAGCCCTTCGTGGTTCCCCATTTGTATCAGCCAAGGTCATCAGTTGCAAGCAGAAGCAGCTGTTGTTTGCAGATTTAAGTAGCAATGGACTTTCCTGGAAGATCCTTGGTTGGCGCCCAGAATTGCAGCCTCAGGAAACAGCCAGAACCCTGGGCAGATTCGTGCCACAGCCCCAGTCCAGTGAGGACGACCCTACCCACTGGTGTCCTGGCTAGCACAACTTGCATTGAAAAGGATGCTAACTACGGTGGATGCCCCTCTGCTGGTTCAAGCCCTGGGTCCATGTGCTGCAGAGGCTGAGCCTTGGCCCCATGTCCCCAGTACAGCAAGAGGCGGGCTGTCTCAGTTTCCTGTAGCTGCTGTTGCACACACGAGGCAGCTCGGAGTTGTGATGGCCAAAGCCAAGGTGTCAGCACGGCCACACTCCCTGTGAAACTGTTAGGAAGGGTGTGTTCTAGATCTTTCTCTTAGCTTCTATCAGCCAAGCGTTCCTGGGGTGGTAGATGTCTATCCTCTCCCTGATCTCTTCAGCCATTTTTTTCCCCTCTCTGCACGTTGCTCTCTGTGCCTAAATTCCCCCTTTATCTACGAAGACTCCAGCCTCACTGGATTAGGGAGCAACCTAGCAACCTCATCTTGTCCTGAGTAGATCTACAAAGGCTCCCTTTTCAGGGAAGGAGCTCGCTGGTGCTGGGACTCTGGCCTTTGTGGCAGGGCTTACTTCAACCCATCACACGGAGTCCTAGCAAAGACGCTCAAAGGCAAGACTGCAATGGCCACGAAGACTTAGACATCATCACGGAGACATCATCGCCCCGGGCACCAGTTCCAGTCCCCGCTGCTCCACTTCCAGTCCACGCCCCTGCTAAGGCACCTGGGAAAGCAGCAGAGGATGGCCCAAGTGCCCAAGTGCCCTGCACCCACACAGAGACACAGAGGAAGCTCCTGGCTTCAGCCTGGCCCAGCCCTGGCCGTTGCAGCCATCTGGGGGGAAGGGGGTGTGAACCAGCGGATGGAAGACCTCGCTCTCTCTGTCTCTCCCTCTCTCTCTGTAGCTCTTTCAACTAAATAAATCAACCTTTAAAAAGAAGAGGAGGAGGATCTGAGGCTAAAATAAGGAACCTTGCAAGGTACCAAGGCAGGTACGTTGCAGGGCAAGTACCCAAAGTCCGTTCCATTCAAACCTTGTACCTGTAGCCACCACCCTCTGGGACACCCAGTGACAGCAGCGACTGTGGCCCGAAGCGCAGGGCTCACAGCACACTGCACTACACGTCTTCACACGTGTGCACCCTTCCACACGTGTGTGGAAAGCACGCTCTGAAGGCGGAACCTGGTCACACAACGCAGGTTAGCGGAGCAGCCAGAGTCGCCGTAGTGTCATTGTGTTGGCACCACCAGCAGTGTGAGAAACTGGACTTGAACAAAGAAGTATGTACGTTTTATGGCTGACTACGGACTCCACCGCCTGGGGTACCCAGTTCCTTCCCCACGCCTCAGCTGAGGGGCACTGGCAGTCATCCTACTTTTTTCACTATTACAAATAACACCGCTAAGAACACCCACTAATAGGTTAGTTTTTGTGTGCATATAAATTGCCATTCTGTTAGATATACATCTAGGAGGGGAACTGCTGGGTCATAAAAAAACCTTGAAAATTAAGCGAAAGAACCCAGTCACAAAGGACAAGATAGCAGTCTGATGGAAGGCCCCGTTTCTCTGAACTCCCTAACAGAGGCCAATTTGTAGCGATAGACCGCGGACTCTCGAGGCCGCCTGGGGCTGAGGCTGGAGACGGAGGTGTTGACAGGGTGTTGGCTTCGGGGTGCAACATTTCGTTTTGGCGAGAACACGCTCTGAGACTGATGGAGGCGGTGCTTTGTCAACCCCATGAGCCCACTGCATGCCAGCGAGTGGTATGCGTAGACGCTCTAAGTGGGTGACCGTGTGCTCCTCGCGTCGTGTTTTGATAAAGCTGCTAAAAAGTTAACACGCAGAGCCAAGAGACTGACGGTGGCAGAGGCTGCACCCGGCGCGAATCCAGGAGGAATTCCAACACAGGCATTGCCCCAGATCAGTGGGGACGTGCCTGATGTGAGGCCACATTCTTCCTGTTAGCAGCAAGTCGCTCCGTGTTGGGGGTGGGGGATGCGCTGCACAGGGCTGTGGACGCCAGGAGATGGCGCTAGGCAGCACCTGCCACAGTGGGGGGAGACAGACGTGGAAACCGTGTGTCCTCAATTTGACAGCACCTTCAGTGCCTCTAAGCTGCGTCTCAGCCTCTCTCAGGTTGGCCCGCCTTTCCCACAGGGGATCCGCCACGGCCTAACTGACAGCATCGTTTCTCCATAGTGATTCAGATCATCAGGGCTCCTCTTAGACTCGATGGCAGCTTAGAGGACTGGGGTACAATGACTCTAACCTCTTGTGAGAGAGATGAATAGGAGGTGCACAGAGGAGCATGGGTAAACCCGGCTTGGAGAAGGCTTCCTGGGGGAGGTGGTGCCCGGTCTTCGTGGGCTGCCGGTTGTTCCAGAACTTGGTCACGTAAAACAGCTCGCGTGTGCTGTCATGGAGTATGTGGTCAGTAGTCTGGGTGAGGCTTATGCCGACTTCTGCAAACCAGGGTTTTCACACGACTGGGACCCAGTGTCAGCCGGCGCGACGGTCCCATCTGAAGGCTCCACCAGGGAGCCACCTTCTAACGCGTGTGACCTCCAGTGGCTGCTGTGGCATCAAGTTCCTCATAGGTCATCCAGGCTAGAGCCTCCGTTTCCACCTGGCTTTCTGCTGCGAGAGCCTGCTAGGTCTCCTGCAATGTCAGCCCCTCTCACACAGCAGCCTGCAGAGTACCCGAGGCGAGAAACCCGAGAGACGGCTGGCAAGCGGAAGTCACCCACGCCTGCAGCCTGACGTCCCCTCCGTGCAGTCACCCGTTCTGGGTGAGGAGGAGCAGGTGGCTCTGTACTCGAGGGTGGAGCTGGGAGGGACCCCGGATGCCACCTGCCGCAGCCGGTCGGTGTGGAGTGAGGAAGCCAAACAAGGAGAAGGCATGCTAACAGCAGTGCGCTGAAGGTGTGTGGGAACAAACAGTAAGTGGACCGTTTGGTGGAGGACAGAGTGAAGGGAGAGAGAAGTGAGACTGATGTCACAGGTGGACTGTTTATTAGATGCCTTATAAGATTCTTCATGAACTTTAGCTCAAACCTAGCACACTTAGAGTTTCCTTACCAAGAAATGTGTACATGGGTGGACAGCCCTAGCACTTCAACAACACCATCGAGAACCCAGCCTTCTTTGAATGTTTTATGCTGCCATCCTAGTAGTGATAACTGCCTCTTATCTACAAAATAGCCGCCAGTCCTCCAGCTGTCACATCTTCACACCACAGTGTTCAAAGTAGAAGGACTGTGGCATGGAAAGAATAGAAAGTTCCAGAAGAGCTCCCCTTACTTGCCATGGCCAGAATGAGTCCCAGGCTCCCCTCAAGCAGCCTGTGATGGCTGGAGTTGCTGTGTTTGC